AGTGAAAGAAGAGAAGAGCGAGAGAGGGGGAAAACCTGTTCGAAATATTGCAATATTTTGTCTGAACTATCAAATAAACACACAGTGAGGCAACAGTTTAACACAACCTCAATGGCTGGCCAAAACAAATTGAACAGTTAAAGAAAATACAAAGATTTTTATCAAATATTGTTTCTGGGTGAAAATAGTTTGGTTGCATTTCAAATAATTCTATTTCCATTTGTTTGTGAGTAAATGGAGCGAGGAGCATGGCGCATGATATATGAAGACGCTCATTAGGCGAGCTCTGGCAGACACCTTCGGTCTAGCCATTTATTTATTTGTCACTGCTTAGCATAAATCGCACGTTAGGGTGAATAAAATGGCATAAAATTAACGGTGCACCCACTCCAATACCATGAGAGCGCCATTAAAAGTCGCAACTCAATAGCACAGTGGGGTTGTTAAAAAAATTTACAAAAAAAGTGATATCTGAAAAATGTATGTATAAAACAATATAATATATAATAATTATGAAAATAATAAGATAAATATATAAAACATTATCTAAAATGGTTAAAATATTATCAAATTAATAATTTTAATATTTACAAAAAAATAAACAATAAATAAAATAAAATAAAATAATAAAAATAAATAAAATACATATAGTGCAGTTTAATTTAATAATCATGACCAAAATATTATTCAATTGAGTTTCCTATAACAATTATCTGTAATTATGTTTAATACACATTTTTAAAAACTGAGGTTTGACTTATTTTCATGACTTTTTCAAACATCTGCACACCACTGTGCTCACACATTGTCGCCTTATGAGCAACTCCTCAGCCCGACTTAGGGTGAAGTTCACCTAAAAGCTTGCGACAATTCATGCAAATGAGTCGCAGTCACACACGAGCAAAAGCACTCACACTCCAATACACACAAACACATACACACACACACGCGCACACATACAGTAACACTCTTACATATTCACATTCAAATGCCTCTAACTTGAACAAAACAAAAAAAGAAGTGCGCAACCACAGCACGTAGAAGCTCGCACACTCACTCACACACACATACACACATACGTGCATGCACACACTCACATATAGAACGTTCATAGAACGCTGGCATATAAAACATGTTTCATGTACGTAGATGTGTGATGTTTATTTGACACGCCAAAGTATATAATAACAAATAAAAACTTTGGCACACCAGACGACGTTGACGACGTCGAGGACGACGTGGAGGACGACGGGCGACAACGGCTGGAACTCTGACAAGGACGACGTCGACGAGTACGGCCCATTAGCACGATTGTTGAGCTTTAAGGCTTCGATGGTTTGGGTACCTCTGTGCACATTACGAGGCGCCATAAAAGTAGAGTCCCCCGAAAAAAAAGAAACGTGTATATATATGGTACATTCCTTTACTGATAGGCACTACCAAAAAGACGGGAAGAGAACCGAGAGTGGAGAGTGGAGAGTCGAGAATCAAGTCCTAAGTCGAGGCATGTGCTCGAGTTATTTAAGTCAGCTTAGAGTTTCGGATAAGTAAAATATATGTTAGCTAAGTCCCCAGTTCTTAGCAATTGAAACATGTGTTATAGTCAGGGATTTTCGGTAGACTAAGAGCCTACATAGAAAGCCCTTTAAATGTGCTATTGAGAACCATTTGATTTGTCTTGGGAATTAAAGACAGAAAACAATTATTATTCTTAGTGAAATACATACTATTTATTATTTATTCTATATTTTATATTCTATATTCTACTTAGCTCTCTAAAGCGGTTCGATTGAACGTCTAGCAAACTAGATTGTTTGCTAAGCATTAAACTTCAAACGTTTTTACAACTGAAGTTGGATAAAGTTCAATTGAAATTGATTGCGCAAGTTGAAAGAGTTTTTCAAATGGCTGACAAAACAAGTGATGAGCGCTTTAAAATGTTAAACTCTAGAAAACTCGAACTACCACTGGGTAAGTAGGCGCTGTATGTATATATGCTATATATAACCTTTTTCAACTTTTCCCTCAGATGAATATTACAAACAGCATGTTCGTCAAAATCTGCCCAATCTTAGCTCCTCTATTAAGGGCACGAGAAACGCCAACTGTGTATTCGATACAAATGTTATGGATCTAACATTGGGTGAGCATAGCTCTATAGATGAGTAGAGAAATCTTTTGGTCTCTCCATATATTTTTGTCTATGTATTATTTATCTACAGATGAGTATTATGAGCAGTTTGTGCTGCCCAAGCTCAAGCTGCAGGAACAGAAAGAATTAGCAGAGAGAAGGCGCAAACAGTTTCAACGCACCCACTTCTTTGGGCCGCGGTACTTGGAACAGCACAAGCAGAAAGCTGCGAGGGCACTACCAGAAGATTTGAAGAGTAAAACACAAGACAAAGAACGAAAAACAATTTAATCGAAGCAAAATGAGACCGAAAGAGGGGAAGATAACAATATATTTAACTGCAGTTTAATACGAATCGAAGACATAATGTGAGAGAAAGAGAAGAAGGCAGAAGGAGAAGCCAAGCGGAGAGAAGGAGAAGCTCCAAACAATTGCTGAATGTACTTTATACATTTTTATATGGTGCTAATAATGTGACAACAGCATCAGCGAAAGCCACTTAAGATGCTTAAAATGCCAGCGAGCACACTTCTATATACAATTTGAATGTAATTTAAATGTCTTTTTTTTAAGGGACGTTTCTATTCAATTCTCATAACAGCTAGAACAAACCTGAAACAAAGCCATAAGCTAAGAGTATGCGTGGAGAACAAGTACATATAGTATTGACAGTTGACTGTGAGCAATGGCATTTGGTACACAAGAAATGTTAGAATATTGGATTAAGAAATTTCTATTCTTATACATCATATAAAGTATAATAATCTAATAATCTGTCAATTATTTGATTTTCAAATTATTTATAATAAGTGAATTTACTAAGAAATCGCTTATTAGACCAAATTTAAAGGCGATTACAGAAAGAGAGATTTCTGTTATAAATATGCAGATAATAAGAATATTAGATGTGCCTTACAATCTCCATCTTATCGGAAAATAAAAACTTTATTCAATTTGCAAAATATTAGCTTTAACAAATACAAATTTCATCTTGATAATACTTGAGAAACAAAAGTTATTCATGAATTCCTTTCGCCTAGTTGAATCCCTATTCAAGCTCTCAAAGTGCGCAGTCTGTTTGCTTGTTTGTGCAATTTCATATCAATATATTTACAGAAATGTCAACGACAGTCAAAATTTAAATAGATTTTGTTGACATTACCTATTTATTTAATTGGGACTATTGTTTTACTCACTACTTGCAGATGTGCAACCTCTTGCCAAATATTTATTCATTTCTAATTAGTTAATTTTTATGCAAATCCTTTAATATTTATGTTTATTTGAAAGTGTTTCTCTGCACTTGCATTTATTTGCTTAACTCATGCTGGCAATTAGAATGCATTATATAGTAGTTGGCATATTTGAATCGCCACCACCGCACCTCTCTCGGCGATTCTCAAAGTGTTTACCCAATCATCGGCAGGCACTGTCATCTGCTGTCTGTGCGAAACGATATCCAGCTTGGCTCAGCTAAATCAATATCAATCTACAATTGCCGTCTGGCATTTTACTGATTGTTTTTCATTATGTTGATGGTGACAAATCGAATCTGACTTTTGCAACACTTGGGCTGACCATGTAAAACCAAACGATACATCACACAGTTGACTGAGCTCGCGCGAGTGTGTGTGTGTGTGTGCGTGTGTGTATAAGCATGTGTGCTGATATTTCTTCATCTTCTTCTACTGCTTCTGCTTCTTTTATGCACCTTCAAATATATTTCTGCTCAAATACACACGTACGCACAGCTCACCCACGAAAAGTCGGGCAGTCAGAACGGTCGAGAGTTGCGCCAGAAAAGATAAATATGTCGTAAAAGTTTTTTATTTGCGTTTTATTTTTGATACAGCAAATGACTAACTTGTTGGCTGACAGACAGTCAGACAGACAGACAGAGAGAGAGAGAGAGAGAGAGACAGTGGGGCAGTGTGAGAGTCAGACGCAATGCCCATGGCCAGCAGGTACAACAGAGCAGAGCGAGACGGCACAATTGCGCGTAAAACAAAGTAAAGCGGCGAGCAGCGTGTGACAGGCGGAGCAGAGTAACGTCTGTCACGCACAGACCGCCAGCTGCCCCAATGCGGGCGCCACATAGCCTGAGTGCCTGCCTAACTGACTGACTGACTGCCTGCCTGGCTGCTTGACCCCCGTCCGTCTATGCCCCAAAGCGATGGGACTTTAAGAATGTTAAAATTTGAAATCACGTTAGAATTTGCCCAAGCAAACTTCTGATACACTTTAAGGCATGAAGCAACTGACTTCAATGCATTAAATCGATTTGGCATATAGTGTAACAGGAGACCAGCTTAGATATACGATTGCTTGTATTTGTAAGCTTGGAATTTTAACTGATTAGTGGCTGGCGTAGAACCTAAATGTGTCTATTTAGTTGGTTGAAGTTTACGAGTGTCACACTCAAATTAATTGTCATTTTTATTATTTAATTTAATAAATATATGATAAATAAATATAAATAAATACGATAATATTTATTGCAGTTATTTTATTATAAAAAAAAATATTATATTTTAAAATTCAGTTTAACATATTTTATATTTTTGTTTTTATTTATATTCAAAATATTTGTGATTTAAACTTAACAAGTTTTCATTCCAAATATTTGTGATTATGTGAATACAATTTGGCATAAATGAAAAAAAAAAATAAATAAATAAATAAATAAATATAAATAAAAACATCAAATATTATTTAATTTTGTACTTAATCCATTTATTTTACTTTTACTTGTAATTTGACTTTTCAAATATATGTAATTTCTAAATTAATAAAAATATAAATATGTCCTAATTGTGTTTAAAGTATATGTTAGCTACAATGCTTATAAATACATATTTAAAGAATATATATAAAAATAAATATTTTATTATTTATATTTTATATAATTTTTTTTTTTGAATATCAAAGCTCATCTTTAAAAATTGCTGAAAGAATTTGTAAATAATAGCTTGCGTAAATTTTAATAAATTCGTATATTGATTAAGCCATAGAAACTAACTGAAGTGAACTCTTCAAAAAGACCAACCATTAAGATTGGTATATTATGGGAAAAAAAGACGTTGAAAGACTTCTAAAAATAAAATAGACTCACGGAACAAACCCATTGGGAATATTGCAGACATATTGAAATGGTGTACACACACATTAATAAAGTACATTAATTACATATATTAATTAATCCATATTAGATATAAATATGTGTATGTATATATCATAAATATTTGTTGACCGTTACTCGATGCCGGCTAATCAGTGTCTTTCACTCACACCTTGAGCAAAGCATTCAGAGAGCAGCCGATTGCGTGGGTTCTTCAACGAGCTCATTCCCAATCGCTCTCCCGAACCTCAGCTTGAGTTAAATGAAGCAAAACAGACGTAATAAAAGCGAAGGCTCTTGCTCTGAGCGAGTGCCATGAGATATGATTTTTTTATAACGAATAAAACTATTAACAGTTATCTGCGAGCTATGCTATACATATCTATAAATAAATAAACTTTAACATATATTTTGACATAGATTTAGTTACTTAAATAACAAAAAGAAATCTTTAAAAAGTAGAAATAAAACTTGACATGAAAAATGGCAAAACATATAAAATGATTTCTATTTTTAGAAGCTAAAAGCCATTTAACTTTTGTGAGAGTTTTTGCAAGTTTTCGAAAAGCGACATTAACGCCAACTCTTGACATTAGTCGACCACTGCCTAGAGTAGCGTCCACTCACTTTCCTGTCATGTTAAATGATGTCAGAGCAAAACAGCTCACTTACTTTAGAGTATAACAAGCAGCTGAGAAGGCACAAACAGCAAACACAACAACAACGAAAGCGACAGCGACAACAACAGCAGAACAAAACTGTCCCTTCTCATGGCCGGCACCAGTTGAGAGCTGCAAAGTTGCCATGGAAAAGGTCAAACCGAAGGCAAGAAAGGCCGACCGCAAGTTTTTATTACGCATATTATGCCAGCGATTTGCTCAGCTGCTCTCTCTCACCCACTCTCTTTATTTCTCGCTCTCGCTCTCCCTTTCCCTTTCTCTTTCTATTGCACTCACTCCTAAACTTCTGCCTGGATCAAGGCTTGGGCATGGGATTTCAGCATCATTTTAATACTTTTAATTTTTTATGCCGCTGACACAGTGACATCAAATGTCAACGAGCTGCAAAACAAACAGCAGCAACAGCCGCAGCAGCAACCAACGAGTCCTGCCACTAGCATAAATATGTTTAAGTATGAGCGTCCATTGGGGGCAGCGCAGCAGCAGAGCCAGCGGCGACGGCAGAGGCAGCGCAGCAAGAAAAATGCTGAAAAACGTAGCATACATTTGGGAGCCGTTGCGCTCGGGCGAAAATTTGCGAGTTTGTGCGATAATAACATATGTAAGTTGCTTGTACATGCATGTGTGTGTGTGTGTGAGAGTGTGGTATGTGTGTGTGTGTGTTGGTAAATGGCATGCAGGTTTTAAATTTAGCACATAAGCTGGCTCTGTCTGCTTCTGCCTTTGCCTCTGCCGCAGCTGCTCTTTAAGCAAAACTTTAAATGAACTTAAGTAAGAGCTGTAATATATATGTACACACATACATACATATATACACGCAGTCAGCAGTTGGTGCAGCACGTTTGTAGGTGCGTGGGCGTCCTTTATGTATCTGTGAGATACATTCGAGTTAATCGCTGTGAAAGCGCTTCAAAGTCAATTAGATGCCTTCAAAGTTCATGGAAATTTTTGCGTTTTTGTTTTTCGCTTTCGCTTTGCCCAAAATCAAAGCAAAAACATTTTATCAAAGAGTTTTTCAACTGCCAAATATAATGCTAGAGTTTCTGTCGCTGCGCTTTGCTTCTCTTATATGTATTTAAATATTCACATTTAATTGGGCTTTTTAATTGCTCTTAGTTTTTATGTGTTTTTTCTTTCTTTCTTTTTTGGTTTTGTTGATGCAATGCAATTTTCGGTTTCATAAATTATTTACACTTCGCTTGTGCAAGCGAAAAAAATATTAATTATATTAATAATTAAATATATATGACACTGCATCAACAGCAGCAGGA